GTTTTATTATTTGTCTAGCTTGTTCCTTAGTTATTTTAAAACGCTTTTGTAAAGTATTAGCATTGACATGGAACTTTTTATGAAAATTTATAGCTTCTTCTAGTGTAGAGAAAATATGTATGTCATGTGTAGTTTTATCTGCTAAATCATTGCCCAAACTAAGGGCTCCAGGCAATCCTGTATGTGCCCTGATATGTCCTATAAAGAACGGATCTTTTCTGTCCCAGATTAGACTTTGTATAGTGGAAAGCAAAGAGAAAACAGTAGAAGAAGGGGAAATCCTACCAGCATCTTCAAGAGATACTATAGCATTAACTACATACTGACTATCAGAAAATAAATTAAATACAGAATCTTTAAACATCACAAAAGCTTGTAAAACTGCATTAAGCTCTACCTTTTGAGCTGATTGTTTGGGTACTAAAAATGTAAAAGTTTGATCAGGGGTAACTACTGCTGCTGTACCATTATTTGACCCATCAGTGAATATATTTGGAGCATTCATGATAGGTGTTTTTCTTGTCATTTTTGGAAAAATTACAGGATGCAATGACCAAAAAGACAATAAAGGATTAGATGGTAAGTGGTTATCAAATGAAACATTAGATTTGCACATGATTATTGCCCAAGTATTTAACTCATTAGCTAACTCATCAATTTGATTCATAGTATATGGAGTAATAATTTTATTGGGAGAAATTCCAAACACTCCCTTTGCTGCTTTTATTCCTTTGAGTATTAATTGTCCTACAGCCTCAGGATACCTAGTAAGAATAGTGTTAGGAGAATAAGATAAATGTATCCATAATAATGGACCTTCTTGCCAAAATACTCCTGTAGGAATATTTTTTGTTGGTAGTACAATAAATAATAAAGGCAAACTTATATCAATTCTATCCAAATGCATATTTTCCATATATGTTTCAATGATTTTTAATGCCTTTCTTGCTTCAGGCGTTAACATGCGGGGTGAATTTGGATCTGATGGACCTTTTAGGATATCAAATAAAGGTCCCAACTCTCCTGTTGGTATGCCTAGATAAGGCCTTATCCAATTTATGTCTCCTAATAACTTTTGAAAGTCGTTAAGTGATTTGAGTTGATCTACTCGTATTTGAATTTTTGGTGGACGGACCATGGTTGAGAATAATAGAACTCCTAAATAATTAATTGGAAAATTTAATTGTACTTTAAATTTAATTGTACTTTATCTATTGCTGTTTCTCGATTATTATTTTTTAATAAGTTTGTAAGTGTGGCATAATATACTGGCAATGTGTTTTTAGCTTTGTGTGCTAATAATACATCATCCATATAGTGAAATATTTGTAGTTCAGGATTTTGATTTCTAAGTGGCTGGATTACTTTGTTAACAAAAATTTGACACATAGTTGGGTTGTTAGCCATGTCTTGAGGGAGTACTTTCCATTCATATCTCTGATCAGGACCTTCATGATTCAGTGCAGGGATAGTAAATGCAAAACGTGGACTATCCTCAGGATGAATTGGAATTGAAAAAAAACAATCTTTAATATCTATAACTAAAACATACCAGGTTTTTGGCAAAGCAGACAACTGAGGAATCCCTGATTGAGCAGGTCCCATAATAACCATCTCATTGTTAATGGCTCTTAAATCTTGCAATAATCTCCATTTACCAGATACCTTTTTGATGACAAAAATGGGAGTATTATGGGGAGATACAGAAGGTTGTATATGTCCTTCTGATAATTGTTGTTTGACCAGGTCATGGGCTGCTTGTATCTTTAATTTAGTCAGGGGCCACTGAGGAACCCATACTGGTTTTTCTGATTTCCAAGTAATTTTTATTGTCTCAGTGGCCCTTTCTGAAAATCCAACCCATATCTGTCTGTTCCTTGATCTATTTGTATTGGTGCTGCTATACCTTGTTCTTATTTTTCTAATCTTTTTCCTTTCCTAAAACCTTGTCTAGTCATAATAGTGGGTGCATTTTGGTTGATGTTATTTGTTAATGTCAAACCTAATTGATCTAGGACATCTCGTCCCCATAAATTTATGGGAAGATGATCCAATACATATGGCTGTATAGTTCCTTCACATCCTTCAGGATCCTTCCAATCTAATACCATTGCACTTCTATGGGGATTAGTCGCCACTCCTAGGCCTCGAAGCGTTTGAGTGGCTTGTTGTAATGGCCAATGTTTTGGCCATTCTTGACGAGAGATGATGCTAAGGTCTGCACCTGTATCCAGTAGCCCATTAAATTCATGCCCTTGAATATTTAGTTTTAGCATGGGGCGAGAATCTAAATTTAAAGAAAGCATAGCCCAATCTACACCTGTGGAGCCTAATCCCTTGGAACATCTTTCTACAGTACGACTGGAAAATTTATCATGTAGGCTGTGTATTATTAGTAACTGTGCTATTCTATCTCCTGGTGAAATTACTGATATACCCTTTGGAGAACTGGCTATAATTTTTATTTCACCTTCATAATCGGGATCAATTACCCCAGGACTTATCATAAGTCCTTTTAGAGTAGAAGAGCTGCGTCCCAATAATAAGCCTACTGTTCCTTTGGGAAGAGGTCCTTTCACCCCTGTGGGAATGATTTGAACTCCCATCTCTGGAGTTAGTACTGCTCTGGCAGAGGTGCAGATGTCCAACCCTCCGCTCCCTCTGGTTTGTCTGATGAGGGATCTGATGGACAATGTGTCCTGGGCACTACCCTGATGGGGTTGCTGGGTTCCTCCAGTGCTCCGTATATTTGTGGTTTTGGGCCCCGGAGCATTGGGCCCCCCTGTCCATTTTTTGGCAATGGAGCCCGATGCCTTTCTCCACGATATCGTGGATAAACACCTGGTCCTTGTTCGTTTTTTGATAATGGAGTACCCTCTATGGTGGTTTGAGAACGGCATTCATTAGCCCAATGTCTCCCTCTACGGCATCGTGGGCAAATACCTGGTATTCTACTCCTTTGATACCTAGTTTTGTTAAACCCTCCTCCAATGGGGCAATTCCTTTAAAATGTCCTGTTTGTTCACAATTGTAGCATGTTCTTGGCCTGGCATCTAAAGCCTGTTTTATTGCAGCTGCCACAATTTGCCCTTGTTCATTAATGTCTCTGGCATCTAAAGCCTGTTTTACTGCAGCTGCCACGACTTGCTCTTGTTCATTAATGTCTCTACATAATTTAATATATGTGTTGAAATCTTCATGTTTCCATGGTCTAATGATATCTCTGCACCAACGATTCGCTTGCTCATAAGCCAGGTGTTTTAGTAATGGCATTGCTTGTTCTGTATTCCTAAAAACTCTGGTAGCTGTTTGAATAAGCCTATCTACAAATTCAGCATAAGGTTCATTAGCTCCTTGTATTACCTTAGATAATTGACCTTGTAAACCTCCATGTCCTTGTAAAGTCTTCCATGCCTTAATTGCATCTGCAGCAATTTGTGCGTATACGCCAGGATCATATGCAATTTGTTGCTGCTGATCCTCATAAGGTCCCTTTCCTAACAACATATCTAGATTTCTCTGAGGATAACCAGCTGCTGCATTTCGCCTAGCCGTCTCCTTGCAAAATTCCTCATTGGCAACCTTCCATAACAGGTATTGTCCTCCATTTAGCACAGCTTTACACATATTAGCCCAATCTGCTGGCGTCATGTTCAAGTTGTTAATGGATTCGACCATGCTTACAGTGAAGGGTGCTTGAGGACCATAGGTTGTTACAGCCTCTTTTAGCTGCTTCACTGTTTTGAAATTTAAAACTTGGTAAAATCGCTGCCCTCCTGCCTCAAATACAGGGCATGTTAATATTTGAGATCTTGTCTCAGGATCCCAACTATCAACTGCGGGGGTTGGGGGCCTCCCAGCATATGGAGCTGGCGCTGTTGGTTGGACTTACGCCCTCTGGTGATAGAAAGGTGTTAGTAGCAGTCTCCTGTAGAGGTGGTGCTGTTGGTTGGACACTTACACCCTCTGGTGATACAAAGGTGTTAGTAGCAGTCTCCTGTTGTAACTTTCCCCCTGATGGCTTTTTCTGTTTTACACTTTCTTTCTCTGTCTGACTAGCTTGAGAGGCCTTCTCTTTTACTTGAATCTTTTCCTCTGTCTGACTAACTTGAGAGACCTTCTCTTTTACTTGAATCATTACGTCTTCTCCTTCCTCTACCATTGTCTGAACTGAAGGCTTTGGACTAAGCAAACAAGATATGAACGTCCACAATGGCAATGTGCCATCTGGCAGAGTCCCTGGGCTTTTCTTTTCTATTCTTTTTAAATCTTCACCATGATGGTTCCATTGTGATATATTTAACAACTCCTCCTTAAAAAGCCATGGGCTACATTTTTGTATTGTATCAACGTATGCCCTGATTGTTCTTGATTTTACTGAGATGCCTCCTTCCTCTAACAATTTACTTAACACTCTTTCAGTTTGTTTTTTACTAATTTCTGATCCCGTATTTCTACTATAATACAACCCAACAAGATGACGCCAAACAAAACCGAGACAGAATGAAATAAAAAGGGAACAACAAAAAGTCATTATAGCCTTTCTATCCTCCTGACATGTGCATCCGTCCTTTCTCCCTATCTGTTCCTCAGACGTAAATAGTTTTTCCTCAGATGTGAGCGGTTTTTCTTCCGTCTCACTCATCTCCAGGGACAGGCAACTTAAAACAAAAGTGAAGCAAAATAAAAGAGGAATCTTAAAATGGCTACCCATCCTCTCGCCCTGCCCTTAGGGGCGAGCAGTTTCACTTACCCTCAGTCGCTCCCCGTGCGAGCCACCAAATGCCGCAGTCTGGCTGGGCACAATCAGGAGCCACTTGTCAAAAGAAACTAACTTTATTTTTAGAACCACACACGCCAAACAAAACAGCCTCTCAGGAAAAACCCTCAGAGCCTCAACTGCCACCACCGGCTTTCCACAAGCCTCTCTCTCCCACACAAGCTTCTCTCCACCTCCCCCAATCCTCCTGCTCTTGAGGCCGATTGGCTGCGTCACGTGGGCGGAGCCAAAAAAGTCCCCCAATGAGCAGCTCCGTGGTCTGAAAGGGCAGGGAAACAGCCCAATGAGCATCACCGCAGAGGAGCCAATCAGCTAGATGTTGCTGGGGCCGAGGAGCCAATCAGCTAGATGTTGCTGGGGCCGCTGTGAGCCAATCATCAGCCAGCAGCTGGAAGTTTGCTGGCAGCTGGAAGTTTGCTGGGGCCCCTTTGGCTGTGGCTCTCAACAGAAGTGTTTCCCCCTCTTCCTTTGGTTTCTGAAATAAATTATTAAGTATTGGTATTATTGTTTCTTTAAATAGTTCTTACATTTTATCTGGTTTTGAGTATCTGGTTGTGAGTATTCTTCTTGGAAAATTTTAAGTAAATAATTATTAAATCCTTTACTTATTATAATTCTACTTTTAATTTTTTTAAGAAGCACCGAAGATCCCAAAAAACCAAACACCAAATGTTTTCTCTAATATGCAGATGCTAACTCACAATAAGCAGGGGGGGGGGGCACTAGAGCTGAATAGTGTTACCTTAGATTAGGTAGAGGGAAGGGAAGGGAGGGGAGAGAATGTGGGGATAGGAAAGGTGATAGAATGAAACAGACATTATTATTATTATTATTATTATTATTATTAATACTTTATGTATATGTGTGACTGCATGACCAATATGATTCTACAACATGTACACTCAGAAAAATGATAAATTATATCAAAGTGCATAAACACATTCTACTATTGTGTGTAACCAATTAATGCAAAAAAAATTGAAAAAAAAAGAAGTACCCAAGAGATAATTTTGTGTAAAGACTAATTGCAGGAATTTTCCACATCACATATTAAGGAAGAGGGAAACTATGACCCATGTACATGGATAAAAACTAAAGGCTTTGGGCTGGGGATGTGGCTCAAGCGGTAGCGCGCTCGCCTGGCATGCGTGCGGCCTGGGTTCAATCCTCAGCACCACATACAAAGAAAGATGTTGTCTGCCGAAAACTAAAAAATAAATATTAAAATATTCTCTCTCTCAAAAAGAAATTAAAAGCTCAGGGTTAATCATAAGTCATGGGTCTTTTAGGTCCTTCTGGATGTCCTACAAGGTATCTGTACTTTTTTTGAGCTGAGCATTCTCATTATTCTTCTGCTCTGATTGATAATGCTGGCTAATCTCCCAGGATTGAGAATACATGGAAAACTCAAGATTTCACTCTCAATGCCATACAGCTCCTTTGTCACTGCTAACTTTGGATGAATCCTGGATAGGTTTTTGAATAGGGATTCAATGAGAACTACATTTATTAATCCTATAGTCCAGTTGATCAATCCTTTTAGCTTGATGAATTCACAGGCACTGCCAACCAACCATCTTATGTACTTACTTCCAGTTTTTACTATCATTATCCATTGCTACATTCAGATCCTGGAGAGGAACACTTGCCATATTTACTCCACTCCAGCCACACTCGCAGCACACTCGATTTGCCATGTTCTCCCAAAATCCATCCATGGCAGCTGTTGGAATTAATGCCAAATCTTTCAGTCAAAAGATAGTGAAATCTAACAAAATTCAGTTTGCACCCACATTCAATCAAGAGTGTTTGGGTAACAGTTTCCAGGTAACACATGTAAGTATGCTTACTGGGTTAGAAACAATTATGATGTAATGTCAGGACTGTATTTGACAATCTGAGGAGTAATGAATTTGAAAATATTAACATTTCTCTGCACAAGATTGAGACAATTCTCCTCTTCTTGCCAGTGGATTACTGCAATACCAGAAATTTAGAATCTGCAGTCATGAATTCATCTTTACCAACCAATTTTTTTTTCTTTTCTTTTTTTATGGTGGTGGGGATTGAACCCAGGGATGCTTTACCACTGAGCTACCTAGTCCTTTTTATTTTGAGAAACAGTCTTGTGAAGTTGCTAAGGCTGGCCTTGAATTTGCAATCCTCCTGCCTCAGCCTCCCCTATCTGCCAAATTTTTATGTCTGAAGAAACATGCTCCCATGCTTATTTTCACCATTTTCCTATTGAGCTTACCTTCCAAAACATCCTCAAGGGCAAATTCAATGGTAGAATTTTCCAGAATGTTGACAGCACACACAATAGTAGATTGTCTAATACTCACTAATCTGATCTTACTGTTTTAGATCTTTGCCTCTTCTGCAAAGGGATATGATGAATTTTTCTGTAAAGGCTGCCATTTAAACATTTAATGTAATTGACATGATTGATTCATATTTGTCATTTTGCTGTTTTTTGCATATTTCTTTTGTTCCTTTGTTCAAACTTTTGTACTTCCCCTACTCTCTGGGTACTGGGGATTGACCCCAGTACCCAGAGGGTAGGCAAGTGCTCTACTACTGAGCTTCATCTCCAGTCTTTACTGCAGTATTACAAGATTTTGATTATACTACCTCTATACTAATCATGAAGTGTACATCCTCCTTTTTTTTTTCAGTGTTGGAGACTGAATCCAGGGTCCCACACACAGTAGGCAAATGCTCCTACTGCCAAGCTACATCCCCAGCCTACTTAGTTAGCTATTCAAGATCTCTTAATATTCTACATGATATGTAGGATGGGCTTTTATGTTTCTACAAAGAATAAACAGAAACAGCCATTGCTGTTTTAATAGAGATGGAATTAAGTCTATAGATTGCCTTGGACAGTGAAATTTCATTTCACTTACTTTTGAACAATGAAGTTTTCCAATTCATGAATAGGATATGTTTCCATTTATTTATGTCTTAAATTTCTTTCAGCAATATTTTGTTGTTTTCCTTGTACAAATCTCATTTCTTCAGCGTATTTATTTATTTTTCGTACTGGGGATTGATCCCAGGGGTACTTTACTATCGAGCTACATCCCCACCCCCATCTCCTTTTTTAAATTTTTGGTCAGGGTCTTATGAAGTTGCTTATGGCCTTGAACTTCTGATTCCCCCTGCCTCAGCTTTCCAAGCTGCTGGGATTAGTCTTCCCAGCTCTTTGGCTATTTTAATCCCTCAATATTTTATTTTTCAATTATTATTGTAATCAGAATTGCTTTTGTAATTTTCCTTTTCAGATTTCTGTCTTTGATTTGAAAGTATAAGCCTTTTGTAAATATTTACATTACTAAAAAGGAAGGACTTCTCTCTCTTTGCTGTTTTCTATATTATAATGTCTTTTGTGGGGCTGGGGTTGTAGCTCAGTGATAGAGCACTTGCCCAGCACATGTGAGGCACTGGGTTTGATCCCCAGCACCACATAAAACTAAATTAACAAAATAAAGGTATTGTGTCCACCTACAACTAAAAAGTGAATAAATGCCTTTTTTGGTCCTTCATTCCCTGTATTACTGTCTTCTTTTACATAATTTTTTGGTAGTGAAATATTTGAATTTCTTTTCTACTTCCTTTTGTGCATAACTGTTTTCTCTATGATTATGATGGAGATTACATTAAACATCATAACAAGGTAATACTCTAATTTGAATTCATACCAGCTTAATTTTCATACAAAAAAATTGCTCCTTACAAGACCATCCCCACCTCACTCCTTTCCCTTGTCACAAAATTACAGCTTTATATACTGTGTGCCCAAAACCTACACTAATATTTGCTTGAAGGCATTAGTATATTAAACAATGTATAAAACAAAACATGAAGTTACAAACTGTGAATAATAATAATAATAATAATAATAATAATAATAATAGCTATCAGACTAACAACTGTGATTTTCAAATATATTAGAGTTCTGGAAATAACCCAGTGTACCAGAACCGGCCACCCAAAACAAAAGGTGCTATTACTGAAGAACCAGGTGGGCAAATCCAGGATCATACAAAATGCAACTTATTCGGGACTCAGGCAGAAACAAGATACCCCAGGACAGGAGGAAGGGGCTTATATGCTAACCTAGCCAACCAGAATACACCTGGGCTTTCTCAGAAACTATTAACACAGCAATTGTCAGAGACAGTCCAGGAATTAATTCCTGGTACAATATATGGTCTTTATCCTACAGGTTTTGGGAATGTATGCCAGGAGCACCTGATAGGCAAGACAGTGGTTATCACCAAGATGGCTGTAGTCATGTCAAATTGGATCCTGACAATTAGCATCATTTGATGCTATTTCCATGATTACAATAATACTAGCTTTTATAATTACCCAGGTATTTACCTTTATTGAAATCTTTATCTCTTCCTATGGTTTCAAGTTACTGTGTTGTAATATTTCATTTCTCTTTGCTGGGCTCCATTGAACATTTCTTGCAAGCCAGGTATAATAGTAATGACTTTTATCTTCCTAGATAAAGAAAAAAATTTAACCCTCAATTTTGAAAAACAGTTTTGCCTGCATATAAAGATACATTATGGCAGCGAGCATGTGGCAGAGGAACTCTGTTCTCTTCATGGCAGCTGGGAAGGAAAGAGTGAAAGGGGTTAGGGTCCCAATATCTCCTCTAAGGGCATACCCCTAGTGACATAACTTCCTTCCACTAGGCCCCACTTCATAAAAGTTGCATCATCTCCCCAAAGTGCTACAGGACAGTGACCAAACTTTCAACACATGTCCTTTGAGAGACAATTAAGATCTAAAATGTAGCACTGGATCATTGACTATTGGCCACCATTGATTTATCTTGAGAAATTTGATAATCTTGTGGAGAATGGATCCCTTATATGTAACAAGTCACCTCTCTTGCTGCTAACAGGATTCTATTTTTTACTTTGAAAATTTGATTATAATGCATTGTAATGTGGGTCTCTGAGTTCATCTTACTTGAATTTCACTGAGCTTTTTGAATGTTTATATTCACATATTCCATCACATTTGGGATGTAGCTTAGTGATAAAATGTTCCTTGGTTCAATGCCCAGTTTAAAAAAAAAAAAAGAAAAGCAGTTTTAAGAAAACTCCACACACTAAGAAAGCACAGAGAAACAACTTAGAAATATATCAGAAAAATTTAACAGACTGAAATAACTAAAAAAAAAAAAACAAACACCCAGAACTACTGAAGTTGAAAAACACAATAGCAAAAATGAATTACATATTAGCACCAACATCAAAACGATGAAGCACAAGAAAGTCAAAGAACTTGAAGATGGGCTACTTGAAAACACAAGAGAATAAAAAAGAGAATGAGAATGAGTGAAGAATACTTACAGGATCTGTGGGACATGATCAAAAAATAAATCTATATATATGTCATTGGTATCAAAGAGAGGCTTGAGAATGACAAAGTGGTAGAATGTTTATTTTAAAGATTAACAGAAAACTTTCCAAACCTGTAGAAAGATACAAATATCAAATATCTAGTATAGGAAGGCCAAAGTTCACCAATCAGATTCAACCCAATAAGACTATCCCAAAATAAAAAAATTTTGATACATTAAAAACAAAAAGTCGGGAATAAAAACTTACTGATAGAGAAAACCACTTAACCATAAAGGAGGACAAATAAAGGAACAAAAAGATCTACAAAATAACTAGTAAACAGGGAGTAATATAATAGTATCAAATATTATCTATCAATAATTATTTTGAATGAAAATCAATCTACCATTAGTCTTAGAACTTTTCCAGCCTCTCTGCCCATTACCTATTTCCAAAGCCTAGCTTCTGCATTTTTAGGCACTTGTAACAGCAATACCCTAGTTCTGATTACCAAAACCTTTGTTAGTCTGTCTGAGATGCCATAGCAAAGTCTTATACACTATACGACTTAAATAACAGATAAGTATTTTCTTACAGTTTTGGAGGTTGTGAAGTCCACAATCAAGGTGCTAGTAGATTCAGTTCCTGGTGAGGGCTTTCTTCTTGGCTTGTAGATTCCCATCTTCTTTTGTTCTCATGTGGCCTTTCCTTGGTGTGTGAGCATGCAAAGTGAGATGTCCCTTAGAAGGTCACTATCTTCATGCAGAAGATCACCATCCATTTTCGATCAAAATCAATTCTTTATGTCTTTATTCAACCTTGGTTACATTCTAAAAGGCCTATCTCCAAATACAGCCACACTGCAGGTTAGGGCAGGAATGTGGGGAAGCAATCAACCACAGACTCTCCATGCATCCCTTACATACATACTAGTTTAATGCTATTCACCAGTAAACAGAAGTGGGATTACTTTCTTAGGAATAGATAAGTTCAGGACAGCAATAAATTGGAAAGTATCATCTTGAATTTGAAAAAACACAAAGTTTAAATGTAGAATAAGGAAAATTCAGAAAGGATAAAGGGACAAATGAAAATGGAAACAAATGGTGAAGTTTCATATTTTTGAGCACCAAACTATAGTAAAAACAAAGACAATAATGAACACAAACAGCATCAGTTTTATTGGCTTTTAGGGTTCATATAAAATTCAAAGAAAAATGTTAATATATGATAAAAAATGTGGCTATAATTAAAAAATAAGGGAAACACAACAAGGATACATTTCACTCATTAATTTGTCATTTATTCAAGAGGGACTTCAAAAATTAAATGCCAAGAAATTTAATGGCTATTTTGTTTCTACCATCAATTTTATGTCTATATACAGTTTATATAGCTCATTGCTTTCATTTCCTTAAATTGGAAAGGAAAAACACATACACAAAGGAATACATGACAAGTAGTCCTAGAGTACTATGCCCAAGAAAATTAAGCAGCCTGGATATTAACTCAGAATGACCACGAAGAATAAAATCCAAGAGTAAATCAGTAGTGGTGGTCACACAGTAATTCAATAAATAGTGTTCACTCTTTTCAAAGATACAAAGTAGAAAATTACCCTAATACCAAAGTTAACATCACAGACTCATTTTTTTACTGTGTAGGACATAAACTAGCCACCAACTACATGTACAAAAACATGTATAAAACACTCATAAAGAAATAGTTACAGAAAACATAGCTTAACATATCCAATGAGAAAGTTATTACTACTGGTGATCATGTGAAACTTTGAAAAGCACCCAAGTTCTGGGAAACATGTCAATTTAAAATCTAATGAATAATGGTGACATAAACTTATCTAAACATAATGGTTAAATTTTCTTCTAAAAAAATCTAAAAACCAGTGACTCATGATCTCATATGATTGCATAACTTTGTCAATTGTCAAACAGACAATTTGGGTCATTTAAGATTACTAAAATAGGGCTGGAATTATACTTATAGCTCAGTGGTAGTGTACTTGCCCAGCATGTGTGAGGCACTGGGTTCGAACCTCAGTACTAAATAAAAAGTAAGTAAATAAAATAAAGGTATTGTGTCCCTTTACAACTAAAAATATTTTTTAAGAAAGACCTTAAAAAAAGAAAGGTATACTATTTAACTCATTTGTTTATTTGTTGGTGCTGGAATTTGAATCCAGGGCCTCATGCATGCTAAGTATGAGCTCTACCTCTGATCTACTCCCCTAGCCCCAAAGAGAGTCTACTGATTATTGAACTCTGGTAATTCTGAGAGGAAATAAAAAGAAAGGATCTACACAAAAACAATTGAAACCATGGTAATATATACTTGTAAACCTTAATTTAAGTTCAGTGATCAGATTATAGACACTCCAATAGTTAAGGGTGCTAAACAAGTTTAAAAGACTAGTTTAGAGCTAGGCATGGTGGCACACACCTGTAATCTCAGCGACTCAAGAGACTGAGGCAGGAGGATGGAGAGTTCAAAGCCAGCCTCCACAAAAGCAAGGTGCTAAGCAACTCAGTTGAGACCATGTCTCTAAATAAAATACAAAACAGGGCTGGGGATATGGTCAAATGCCTAAGTTCAATTCCCAGTACTCACCCCCCAAAAAAAGAAAAAAACCGCTGGTTTAGTAATTTTCATCAAATATATCAAGATGTTCCTTTCACTTTAATCATGGCTGGTACCACCTAGAGATAAAAGGCTCCTTAACAGAATTGTTTTATGATAGATATTTAAAGGAATCTGTTGTGTCAAAACAAAATAGAAATTTAAAAATAAATCAAACAACTGATGAAAATGGAGAGGTGGTTATACATCTATAAATAAAAAGCAATAGAAACCAAAAGAAAATTTAACAAGGCAGGGTCATAAGACTTTAAAACTATGTTTTATTTAACTGGGAGCTCTAACTGTGTAGATGAAGAAAAATATATCAGATAGAGAAGCAAAGAATTATAATACAAAAAGGATATTTTATTAATATTACAAATGATAAAATTGACAAAACAATGAAAACATAAACACCAAAAGCTATTAAGAGAACATATATAGACAAGAAACTCACAAAATTAACTGAAACCACTAATTATTAGATGAACATGTATTCCACAAATTTCAGAAATGGATGAAGAGACCATCATGAGTCAATAGAGAATGAGAATGTTAATATAAAAACAGAAATTTTTGGCAGTATTTACAAAATTATAAAGGTATACATGTCACCAATGATTGAAAAATTCCTTTTTGGAACACAGAATGACCATGAAGTCTGGGAACAGACTGTAAAAGGAGAGGGATATGAATCATCCTTGATTATATTTTATATCCTCAAATTTTTTTCCAGTGAAAATCACAAGGAAAAGGCCCTCACATACTCATTTCATTCAAATAAATACTCATTTCATTAAAAAATAGTAGAAATTTTTCAAGTAATATTCTCACCCACACTAAAGGCATTCCTGCATTCCTTACATTCATAGGGTTTCTCAGCACTATGAACTCTCTGATGTTTTGTAAAAGATGAACCATGTCTAAAGGCCTTCCCACATGCCTTGCATTCATAAGGTTTCTCTCCAGTATGAATTCTCTGATGTTCAGTAAGGGCTGAACTATGTCTAAAGGCCTTCCCACAGATCTTACATTCATAGGGTTTCTCACCACTGTGAATTCTCTGATGTTGAATAAGGGCTGAAGTAAGTCTGAAGAACTTACCACACTCCTTACATTCATAAGGTTTCTGACCACTGTGAATTCGCTCATGTCGGGTAAGTTCACTGCCTACTCCAAAAGCTTTCTCACATTCTTTACATTTATAGGGTTTCTCACCAGTATGGATTCTCTGATGCCTAGTCAAGGATGAACTATTTCTGAAGACCTTTCCACATGACTTACATTCATAGGGTTTCTTACCTGTATGAATTCTCTGATGTCGAGCAAGTTCTCTACAGACTCCAAAAGCCTTCCCACATTCCTTGCATGCATAAGGTTTCTCACCAGTGTGAATTCTCTGATGTTCAAGGAGTTGTGAACTAATTCTAAAAACCTTCTCACAGTGGATACATTTGTATGGTTTCTCCCCAGTATGAATTCTCTGATGTTCAGTAAGCTGTGAATGAAATCTAAAGTCCTTGCCACATTCCATACATTTGTAAGGTTTCTCATCAGTATGAATTTTCTGATGTCGAGTAAGTTGTGCAAGCACCCTAAAGGATTTCCCACAGAATGTACATTCATAGGGCTTCTCACCATCATGAATTCTTTGAATGGGAGTAATTTCTCCAACACTTCTAAAGATCCTCCCATATTCCTTACACTTATAGAACGTCCCAATGCTATAAATTTTTTGGTAAAGACTAAGATCTTCATAGAAACTAAGTTTATTCCCATGTTCCATATATTTACAAGGCTTCACTCCAGTATGAATATTCAATTGTAGTATATGTGAATTATCCATCCCAGAGTTTTTCCAGCATCCATTACATTCATAGGTTTTCTCATCAGTATGTATTATTCTCTGATAGTGATCAAAGTTTGAGTCACAACTGAACACTTTCCCACATTCCTTATATTCATAGGGCTTCGCACCACCATGCATTCTCTGAGGTAATGTAAGATATTTATAATTCTTATAATTGGGCTGTTTGTCAGAGATGATTTTCATCTTACTGAAACATCTCCATCCAGGTCCTTTTACTTCAATCTTGTTTTTGCTTTGCCAGTCATTTCTGAAAATGGAGCTTTTGAAGTCAATGAGATTGCTATTTTCCATTACTTCCAACTGAGAACCACTGTTTTCAAAAACATCCTTTCTTACAGATAAAATCTCTGTCTCACACCTAGACTCCAAATCTGAAAAAAAAGGGAAAAAACAATTTTTCCCCCTGTCACAATAATAGAACTCATAGAAAACTTAAGAAACAAACAATATAATTCACAGTACAAATGAATATTTAGCTGGGCTTGGTGGTAGATGCCTGTAATCCTAGTGATTAAGGAGCTGAAGCAGAAGGATCACAGTTCAAAGCCAGCCTTAGCAACTTCGCAAGGTCCTAAGCAACTTAATAAGATCCTGTCTCAAAATAAAAAATGAAAGAGGCTGAGGATGTATCTCAGTGGTAAAGCACACTTGGATTCAATTCTTGGTACCAAAAAAACTAACAAAATAAATAAGTAAATAGTTAAAGCACTGTTATAAAATCTGCAGAAAGAGAATTCAGACAGTGCTAACAGTGTAATATAACATTGTGAGATTTTTGATAAGGAAACATATTAAGTCAGTGGATCTGAAATGTAGATGTTGATCATCTTTGTAACCTTGTTGTAAGTACTGATGTTGAGGAACCAATCTAGATAAAGTGAATCAAAATATATATATGTAGAATCCATAATTACCATCTTATAGAGCTACTGTTTATGCACATAAAAATTTGACAATATACACATATCAACAATTTTATCATTAACAATTTACCATGGATAAAAAGGTGCTGCTCATAAGACCTCATTTTACTCAACTTCCTTCCTTTCTTTTAATCTCTTTTCACCTCCTAGATAAAAACACATTTCTTACCATTTACACCAACTCAAAGGACATTTTATCTCTCACAAATAATCTCTTTGTATTCCAGTTCCTTTTCATCACCTTAGGTCTAAAAGTTAACTACCTTAAGATAGCTGAACCTAAAGTAAGTTCATTTTTATATCTTCATTCAAATATCTGGTTCATTGCCTTCATATTTTTCTTTTTCTATTTAAAAAATTTTTTTTAAAAATATTTAAGTTATAGTTGGACACAATACCTTTATTTTTTTATGTGGTGCTGAGGATCGAACCCAGGCCCTCACACGTGCTAGGCGAGCCCTCAACCGCTCAGCCACAACCCCAGCCCCCTTTAATTTTTTTTAAATATTTATTTTTTAGTTTTCGGCGGATACAACATCTTTATTGTATTTTTATGTGGTGCTGAGGATTGAGCCCTGCGTCCCGTGCATGCCAGGAGAGCGTGCTACCGCTGGAGCCACATCCCTAGCCCCTTTTATTTTTTTTTTAGTTTTAGGGGGACACAGTATCTTTATTTTATTTTTACGTGGTGCTGAGAATTGAACCCAGTGCCTCACACATGCTAGGCGAGTGCACTACCACTTGAGCCACATCCCCAGCCCCGCCCTCATATTTTTCAATTGTGTGTTCAATAGTTGTTTACTTTTATTATGCCATTAATTTCTCCATTCCTTAAACTGCACAAGGACAAATGTCTTAATTTTGTAATGTGCCAATGAATAATAGGCCCCAAGGATATAGTATATGATAATTAATTACAGGAAAAGTAAATCACTGGATGAAAGCAATTTAAATAAAAAGAAAGTATACATACAAATGTATGTCAAATGGAAAATGGCACATTATCAAATTAATTACATAGATTTGTAGGCTTCTCCACCTACACGTCTTTACCAGTATTACTCATCCTCCTACACAGAGCCTTGATTGCTTTTTTTCATCTCACATGTCAACCAATACTTCTCATTGGTAACATTTTCACTATTACTCATCTATCCTTGCGAAATCTTTTTTTCCTTCATGATCTTTCCCAAATACTCATTTCCATTTTCCGATACCCAAAGTCAGCCGCTTCTGTACTACCCCCAAAAGTATCACAATATTTCAGATATACAAATAAGAATATACCATATTGTTAAATTTATGGAATTCTGAGTAAAGTCTTGTGATTGAAAAGGAGAATATGGTGCGGGGCTGTGGCACAGTGGTGTAGTACTTGCCTAGCATGTGTGAGGCACTGGGTTCAAACTTTAGCACCACAAAAGTAAACAAAATAAAGATGTTGCGTCCATCTACAAATAAAAAATATATTTAAAAAAAAATAAAAGGAGAATATGATGAAAGAGTCACATGGAGAAGGTGGATTAGGTGGGCAAGATTTTAAGACATTTTGTTACAAAATATTTTTTCAGACACTCAAGTTTGGCAATGAGATAAAGCTTAAGGAAAACTGAAAGATCAAGAATAATTTCCTATAAGTGAATTATGTTATGTGTAACAATAAAAAATAATGATAGTATCATAATTTAATGAAAGCAGTAAACCAGTACCAGTATCAATAAACCAAAAACATTTAGAAATAAAATTCTCTATTAACTATGAGTCAATGTGGAAGTGTAACTGAAATAAAAAAAATTTCCTGAGAACCATGATGTTGAAATCTTTATAAACTATAATTTATGAAAATTATATTGGTCACATAAAAAGTAAAGATTTAAATGGTATTATAAAGAAATGAATGAAAATGACCAATGTATACATGCCACTCATAAAAATAAAAAAAAGATTTACCTGAGGAAAATATGAAAGAGGAAATTAATAAACAGAATAAGAATGTGATAAAAACATAAAAACAGAATTAACAAATATACAAAATAAAATGTAAAAGGAACCACCATAGATTGCATTTTATGAAAGCCTTATAATACCCCATCCCATACCAATAAAGTTGAAAAATGTAGAATAATGAATTAATTTCTAGGTAATTAGATATTTAAAACTAACCCCAAAAGCTACAAAAGTTGAAAACCATTAATTTGCTAGAAAGAGAAAAAATTTTTCAGAACCTTAACTCCCATGAACAAAAAATCATAACCATGCCTACTGTCCTGGATGTAACAATAAATAAGGTAATGAAGCAGGGATCCTACAATAAAGATCTGAATTATGATCTGGAGTAAGGTCAGTATAAGATATGCCTTGAATTGTTGTATCAGAAAATAGAAAAGTTTAATACTTAAGGATGATGTCAACAGGACACAGAAATCACCTGAGGGAGTTAAAGTAGACTACGATTTTAAAAGTACAAGAGTCAAAAGAGGGAGAAAAAAGCTTGTGTACTAAAACACGTTAAACACAACAAAAGGCTAGAAAACACACTTGTAACTAATTTAGGTGGATGGTCTGAGACTGGGAGAGTACTGGGATAGCCAGATAGCCTGTGTCAAAAAGCAAGAAATTTAAAAATTAAAGAAGCAAGGGATGGGATTGTGGTTCAGTAGCAGATGCTAGCCTTGCCATGTATAAGGCATGGCTTCAATCCTCAGCACCGTATAAAAATTTATAAATAGGGCTGCGGTTGTGGCTTAGCGGTAGAGCACTTGCCTCACATGTGCAAAGCCCTGGGTTCAATCCTCAGCACCACATAAAAATAAATAAATAAATAAAAAGGTATTGTATCCAACCACAACTAAAAAATAAACATTTTTTTAAATTAATAAATAAAATAAAGGTATGTGTACATCTACAACTTAAAAAATTATTTTATAAAAGAATAAAGTTAAAGTTCACAGAAATCACCATGAGGAATTATCCAAACTTCAAATAACTGCATATAAAAATTAAAAACTGGCTGGGTGCAGTGCAGTGGTGCATTCCAGACTCAGGAAGCTGAGACAAGAAGGATCACAAGTTTCAGACTAGCCTCAGCAACTTAGGAAGACCCTAAGCAATTGACTGAGACCCTGTCTTAAAATAAAAAAGAAAAATGGTGGGAATGTAGCTCGGTGGTAAAGCACCCCTGGGTTAAATCCCCAGTGCCAAAAAACAAAAACAAGGGGCTAAGGTTATAGCTCAGTGGTAGAGTGCTTGCTTAACATGTGAAGCACTGAGTTCTAGTTTCAGCAACACATAAAAATAAATAAAGTAAACGTATTGTTTCCATCTTAAAAAATAAAAAAATACTAAGAAATAAAATACTAAATAAAAAAATAAAACAAAAAACTGGAGTCTAAAGTATACTGAACCAATGAAAATCATTAAATTCATAATGAAAAGTCAGAACATTTAAAGTGCACCATTTGAGATCATTAATTAGATAAAAATAATATAAAAAATATGGTGTTTCTGCCTCCTGCCTTTCCTATTAGAATTACATTTCAAGTTTATCAACAAAGCATGAGGGCTACTGATAGGATTGCAAATTGGTGTAACCACTCTGGAAAGCAGTATGGAAATTCCTCAGAAAACCTGGAATGGAACTACCATTACCCAGTTGTCCCACTCCTTGGTATATACCCAAAGGACTTAAAATCAATATACTACAATGATACACGCACATGGATGTTTATAGCAGATCAAAACAGCTAAGCTATGGAACCAACAGATGCCCTTCAAGAGATGAATGGATAAAGAAAATGGAGTATAAATACACAATGGAATATTACTCAGCCATAAAAAAGAATGACTATGTAACTTTTGGCAGTAAACGGATGGATCTAGAGATATCATGTTAAGTGATAGAAGCCATTCCCCCAAAACTAAAGGTTGGATGTTCTCTGATAGGCAGATGCTAACACAAAACAATCGGGCAGGGAATAGAAGTTCACTGGATTAGACAAAGGGGAATGCAGAGAAGGGAGTGAGAATGGAAATAGAAAAGACAGAAGAATGAATCAGACATAACTTTCCTATGTTCATATATGAATATACCACCAGTGAAACTCCACATCATGTACAACCATAAGAATGAGATCCTAATTAGAATTAGGTTATACTCCATGTATGTAAAATATGTTAGAATATGCTCTACTATCATGTATATCTAAAAAGAGCAAATAAAAAATTTAGGCAAAATAATGACATTTTTATAGATAGACTGAATAAAAAAAATGTATTTCCAGCCTACCTGCACTACAAAAACTAATACTTAAGGAAGTTTTTCAAGCTGGCGGGACATTATCCTAGATAGAAGACTGGATATTTATGATAGATTAAAAAAACAAAGAAAAGAGTAATAAATTAAAAACAACAAAAAACATGAGGGCAACCAATATATGAAAAGAAATGATAAATTTAGAAACTTGCTGACTTAAAATATTAGGTAAATCACTGACAAGAAACTGTATGTCCACAGATTAAAACCAAAGAGAACCTGTTTGATTTACAATATCTGGATTAGCTATTCCCCAGCATCCTCTAACCCTTTATTCTTACACTTATCGCTATATACATTCTCTACTTGTTTGTTTTCTTATACGTCTTAACTAGTAGTATGTCATTTTGGTTTGGGTCACCATTATAAAAAGGGATAGCTTAATAGCTGTCTTCAGTGTAGACATCAAAAAAGTATGTGAATATCTATATTTTGTGTCAATATAGACATATATAAATCTATAACAGTATACAGAATAGCTAGCTGTGTCCAGCAGAATCTTAATTGGCTTCCCCCAAGTGTCAGACCTTTGTATATAGGGTTTTTAAAAAGAGTTTGCCAGTATCACAGGGCCTTACTTCCTCTGCTTCATAGGCTATCACTCACCTGGCCCTATCTTCCTGTCACATCCTTGCAAATCCTTTAGAGAACATCCTTTCTCCAATAAGTTAGAACATAATTGGCTTATAAATGCAAAACTCGGCTTACAATGAGGCAATGTAACAATGTATGTTTAAAACAAATTGTAATTAGTTCACACACACACACACACACACACATATAAATTATAGAGGGAGGTACTGGGGATTAGGCAAGCACTCTACCACTGAGCTATAGTCTTAATCCCCAAAATGATGATAAACATGGGGATGGGGTTGTGGCTCAGCAGTAGAGTGCTCGCCTAGCATGAGAGAGGCCCTGGGTTCAATTCTCAGCACCACATAAAAATAAATAAAATAAAGATAATGTGTCCAACCACAATTAAAAATTTTTTTTAAAAAAAATGATGATAAACACTTCATAGAAGAGAAATGTGAAGGAATCAGAAGAATATTTCACTTTGGGAATAACCACAGAATTACAAAACACAGAGAAACCAGACAGTTAATACAGGTCTTACATTATTTGGACCCATACTGGTTCTTTGTCTTGAGAACCAGTTTAATGTGACAGTTAAGAATACTGTGTGTTTGGGCTGGGGCTGTAGCTCAGTGGTAGAGCACTTGCCTGCCATGTGTGAGGCACTGGGTTTAATCCTCAGCACCACATTAAAATAAATAAATAATAAATAAATAAATAAAAATCCAGCTAAAAGAAAAAAAGAATACATTGTCGCCAGCCTGCCTGAGCAGAAAAGCTGCCTCTTTTTTTTTTTTTTTTTTAAGATGGACACAATGGGGCTGGGGATGTGGCTCAAGCGGTAGCGCGTTCGCCTGGCATGTGTGCGGCCCGGGTTCGATCCTCAGCACCACATACAAACAAAGATGTTGTGTCCGCCGAGAACTAAAAATTAAATATATAAAAAAAAAGATGGACACAATATCTTTGTTTTTATGTGGTGCTGAGGATTGAACCCAGTGCAAGTGCTCTATCACTGAGCTATAACCCCAGCCCCAAAAGCTGCCTCTTGATACTAAGAGGTGGTATAACCCTAAACATATACCTCATATTTTTTGTCATAAGCAATCTCTTCTATAAAACAGTATGTAACAGTGTTACCTTAAGAATTAAATGGGTCAACCCACCTATATGATATACTAAAGTGCAGAAATGCAGTCTACTATCATATATAACTAACTAAAATAAAAAAAATTAAATGAGTCAATTATTTAAAGCTTAAGGTGAGGCAAAAACTTTGTAAGCTAAGAGGAAAATAAGTAGCTTTCTGAGACATATTGACTTGGTGTCTATGTTGAAGACATAGTGCTCTGTACAATGGTGACTAAGACCAAAACAAACCCTGTATTAAATGCAAAGTTCTTTAACCAAAAAGCAGCTATATTTGTGGCAGTAAATGAATATGAAGAATTCTGTTTATCAACCCAACAATATGTAAATTGTAGAGATTCTTCTAATAGTCATAAAAATTGGGACTTGTCATAGTGTTTGTCCAACAGAGTGGAAAAGAAAACAACATAATAAATCTACAGCAATTCTGAGATCAAATACAATATAATATCCCTATGATATGCTATATATGTCCTATAAGTCAATTCCAGCTCCCTTAGAATCAAGGAAGATAGAAATTATATAAACTGCCTGGTATGAATATGAGGAAGATATTTAGTGGAGGATTACTCTGGAATATAACAACAATGAAACAATATTTTTGGAACAGGGAGAAGAAATTCAGTAGTTTTTTTTTTAAAGATAGTCTTGAGTTCACTGAATATTAGTTTATATTCTAGAGAACATATTCTAAATTATTTGATGCAGATAAATTTACCCAGTGAGACCAAGTTGCTATAGTTCTCCATCATCACATCCCAATATAAATCCCTCTGAGCAGAATCCAGGTATTCCCACTCTTCCTGAGAGAAGTTGATGACAACATCTCTGAATGTCACCAATTCCTGAAACAATAAACCCAAATATTACAGTAAAATTTAAGGAAATCTTTTCAAGAAAAAGAAATAAAAAACTGCATTATAGAAAGGGAACTAGATGTTAATCAAGTATACTGTGGATATAAGCCTATGACTTAAGAAATAAGGGAATTAGTGTTTCCAAATCAGGCTATATATGTCTTTAAAGAATCCATTTAATGCAGAGAAATCTGAAACAATGTGGGATTTTGTAAGTAGCCAAACATTTCTGGGAATTAATAAAATAATCAGTTCACATATTAAATGAGATAGTGTCTACATGCCATTGCATGTTGCTATGGGTTCACTTCATGAATCATCAATAAAGATTAAGTTTCTGTATCTTCATTCCTCTGCATAAGAAAAATATCTAACTTAGAAAATAAGTTAAAAATCCCTCACAGGAACTAAAGGTATAATAGCTTAATAGTAGAGCACTTGCCTACCATGTATAAGACCCTGGGTTCTATCTCCAGTGCTTCAAAAGATAAAACTTACATACTTCTTGAAGCCCCCAGTTCAATGCTATATGTTATGTATCATTTCATATTTTACAATTATTACTTCTGATGACAAATTATTTAATACATGCTTTTTAGTGACTACAAAATAGACTACCTATTCAAAAGCGACTTACTTACACTTAAGCATTTAGATGAGATATTTTGTAATTATTATTTTTTTAATATTTATTTTAGTTTTTTTAGGTGGACACAACATCTTTATTTTTATATGGTGTTGAGGATCAAACCCAGAGTCCCGCGCATGCCAGGTAAGCCCGCTACTGCTTGAGCCACATCCCCAGCCAATATTTTCTAATTTTAATCTTATCATTTTGTATAACTTGGGGCCAAATCAAATCCATCTGGAAACTCAGGTCTGTGGAGAATTTTAGAGTTTGCCTATGTCATCAAATATTTGTCTGCTTTTTTTCCCATATTCAATAATATGACAAGGAAAATCCAGGGATTCCATTCTTACTCTATAGTAGACTGAAGACATAGGGAGTGTTGAACATCATTTGGAGAACAGATGGGCACACAGAAGGGACACTGATTGATTCTAGCCCTCACTAGAAAATGAAAGAGATGAGGATGTGGTATTCGTTCTCTATTATAGCTGTTGTGTATTCAGAAAAAGGAAATATTCATGAAGAGAGAAATTACTCACATGGTCCATGGTTAGAACTGTGAAGAACCGGTCAGGAAATTCCACTTCTGGCATAAGAGTGGGTAAAGCTCGATGGGCATGTTCCCCAGTGAAACTGGTAAAATATTATCGCAACAACACAAAAAAATTAAGGCCTCTGGAAATGGCCCTAGGAACACACAGTAACTGAAGAAATAAATGGCACTGGAGGAAAAGGGGATCCATCTCTATGTTATTACTTAGGAAGGGAAAATCTAGGAATTAGATAAAAGGATAGGTCACAATAAGGCAAGGCAATTCAGGAGAAGGAAAGCAAATAGTTTTTTTCATAAAACAAAAATATATTTGACATATCATGCACAAGGGCCTGAGTACTTTTTTCAAGTACTCAGCACTTGAAAAAAACAAAAAAAAATGAAAAATGCATTTGACAGAACAAAAATAAATACAAACTGACCTTGAGATGGCCGTTAAAAAGCAGTGCTCCTTTCCACTTCAGGAGCCTTCTTTCTCTTGAGGAATAACATGACCAAGAAGAAAGGACTTGTGAGATCAGTCTGACTTGTGAGATCTTGGACTGGCTAAATAATACTGTCCACCACCAGACAAGCACCCATCATACACAACCCATAAACCCAGATGGAAGAGGGGAAACTAGAAAACTACAGACTCTTCTCCGTGTCAGAATCATCAATGCCTAGAGCCTGTCCTCGGGGTTCACATCGGCTTCTAGGGGACACAGCTCAGGAAATACTGTGGTTAGGAAATGTGTAAATGCCTCCACAGGGTATTCAAGGGGCCATCTCCCAGGAAAAACTCCCTCCCCTCAGTATCTTCCCTGGAGCATATCTGGGAGGCCAATGCAATTCACACCTCATGACTTAGAATGTTCTTTTCTGCTTGGAACTTCCACTCTGGGCAGAAATACACGACTTCTCTTGTGATGACTATTTCTCTACAGCTAGCTGTGAGGACAGAAAAAGACAATTCCGGAAACATGTTCCAAAAAAACCACGGAACCCACAACTAGAACCTGGGGTGGGTGGTCACTCACGCCACAATGCCCTTCTATGTTATGCACCAACCTGGGTACCGAGAATATCACAAAAAAGAAGAAGGGACACTACGGACTCGTTGAAAACAAAAACTTCATCTGGTACGCTCGGCAAGTACGTCACAGAGTGAAACACCTACATCACCAAACACCAAGTGAAACGGTCACACGAGTCCAATCAGAAACCAATCAGGGCGCACACCAGGGCGTCGTCACAAACACATTCAGCCCTTCCCTCTCGTACATCCACACCCTGCAGGGTCGCCGTCACAAACGTTCGCGGCTTGCGCAGGTTTGTAGCTTCGGGCTCCACAGTATCCATCCCGCCTCGGGAGAGCCGGGGCCTGACCTCAGCCGCCTCAACTCCCCAGGAAGTGCGCCACACCACCACACCGGAAGGGGAACCAACGCTCCAGGTTCATCCGTGGCTCTGAGCCTGTGGGAAACGGAGTCCAACGCCGGCATGTCCAAACGTTCAGGCGGAACCCACCGGCCACACAGACCCCACGAGGCTCGGGAATCTCCCGGGAGTTCCCAGGAACTCGGAGGAGGGTTGAGGATCGCCAGTCGTCTGGAAGCCGGCGGAGAAAATAATGAAAACCCAGGCCGCCGAGCAAAGGAACCCGGAAGTGCTTGCTAGGGTTGGCGCCGGAAGTACACCGGAATCCCGAGTTGCCCCCACCCGCTGGAAAACTGGAACCCCGAACCCTAAAAGGGGTATCTTGAGTTCGGCCGAGTAGAGCCGAGGTCAGAACTGGGACCCTGGGTAGGAGGGAGGTTCGCTCTACTCGGGCCTGAAAGTGCAGAGCCCCAGGGCGTGGGACGTGCTCAGGACCGAGGGTTGCTGGAGGGTTTTGTTAGTTATTCCCCAAAAGAACGCCCCAGCGCCCAGGGCGGCGTCGGACGTGTTTGTAGACGCTCAGTTTGTGGCCAGGAACTTACCAGGTGTCCTTTTCCAATCAGTTTCACTACAGAGTTCGAATTTCTGTCACCATAATTTAGTTTTCAATTGAGAATTCCCTGTCTCCTTTAGCTGATCATAGTATCTCATACTACTACTTTAAAAAAAAAATTGTTTTTAAATTGTAGTTGGATACAATGTTATGGGCAGCCACTCCAGAAACCACTCTTAAGTCCGAATTTCAAATCAAAAAGGAGCTTTATTTACTGGGTCAGTGACTGTCACCCACAGCATAGACTCAAGCTCTATGGGAGGATAGCAGCTTCCTGGTCCATCCAAGGAGACTATAAGCACAAAAATCCCAACTCAGTGACCCACATAAGCGAGCCAATCACAGAAATTAAAACATTAATAAGTGGGACTTGTGGGCTCTAGGCAGGACTGGAATTTTCTGGTCAACAATCAAGCGATAAATAGAAGCTAAAAAAGAGCATTACCTTTGCAGTTCAGTTGACCATCTTCCTGGGTTCAAGCAGGTGCTAGACAGTGGTATCCTGAATTTGGGGGATAGGGGTCGGTGGGGGCGAGAAACCAATTCAAAGTCATGTAGACCCACAAGGGCACTCACACCAAGGTACAATTTGTGGAGTACAAAGTACAGAAAAATAATTTTTATAAGAAAACAGCTTTTATTTCATTTTCTCATAAACAACTCTTGTAACTTTTTTTTTTTTACAGGAGGCAGCAAAATGGAGTCAGGCCTGTCTGTGACTGTTCTTGCTTTATAATTGTCTTATCTCACTTATCAAAATCTTATATCCATAATCTGTATTCTTTTTTACTAATCTATAACCTTTATTATACTCTTATTGATTAGTATTTATCAGTTCACAACACAACAATATTTTATTTATTTTTATGTGATGCTGAATATTGAACCCAGGGCCTTGCACTTACTTGCTAGGCAAGTGCTCTACTGCTGAGCCACAACCCCAGCCCTCATACTTCTTAATGTAGTTTATATTTTATTTATATACTTCTTAATGTAGTTTATATTAATGTAGTTTAAATTTCAGATGAACATTCCATTGTGCTAATGTGCCACAATTTGTTTATTCATTTTTTTCTCTTAATATCATTTGGTTTATTTACAGGTCTTAAACATTGTAAAGTTAACAATACTTTCATTTCTTCTGGGTAAAATCTAGAAGAAAAATTGCTGGGTAATTGATAAGTTTAACTTTCTAAGAAACTGATAAAATTTTAGGATAATTAATTGTAAAGGAGTTGTGTTTGAGGCAACTGCTTTCTGAGTTTGGTTTGATGTCTATATAGGGTTATGTGATGGATTCCCTGGATTTGTAAACGGAATGTCATGGTGGGTCTGTGGGATTGTGGGTTAGTGACATGAGATCACAGGAAAATCAATGAGTCTATACCAACTATTTATTATGGTTTTGTTTGTACATTTCATGATGACTAAAAGTGGATCACTTTGTGTAATACTAATGAGTTATTGAGAAATTCATGTTTCATATATGTTATTTTGCTTGCAAAATTGTTTCTAGTGAGCAAGTAAAACTTGAAAGAGGTAAAATTATAATTTCTAGATCACAGGATTGTATAACTAGAAAAACCATACAAATTAAAGCCAATATGTTGCAGTTGCATATTATCTATAGAACAGAAGAAAAATACTTTTGCTCCTACCACTTAAGTTGGTTGAAATTATTTTTTTCTTGTTACTACTGAAGGAAATTGTGGGTGATTAACATCTTTAGACATTCTAAGTCAACGGAAATAGTTCTGATCACAAGATACAACTCATAGTATCTAAAAAATCATTTCCTAAATAAAATATATTCTGTAAAAATCAGTATTTCAAACTATTTAAAGTACTTAAAGGAAAGTTCAACATCTCTAGCAGAGAAATGTAAATTAAAACTACACTGAGATTCCGTCTCCCTCCAGTCAGAATGGCATTCATCAAGACTACAAGTAATAAAAATGTTGGCAAGGATGTGGGGAAAAAAGTACCCTCATACATTGCTGGTGGGACTGAAAATTGGTGCAACCATTCTGGAAAGCAGTATGGAGATTTCTCAGAAAACTTGGAATGGAACCACCATTTGACCCAGATACCTACTCCTCAATTTATATGCAAAGGACTTAAAAACAGTATAGTACAGTGATGCAGCCACATCAATGTTTATAGCAGCCCAATTCAAATACCTAAATTGTGGAACCAACCTAAATGCCCTTCAATAGATGAATGGATAAAGAAACTGTGGTTTATATACACAATGGAATATTACTCAGCATGAAAAGAGAATAAAATCACGGCATTTGTAGGTAAGTGGATGGAGTTGGAGAACATCATGCTAAGTGAAGTAAACCAATCACCAAAAAACAAAGGCTGAATGTCTTCTTTGATAAATGGATGCTGATCCATAATGTGGGTTGGTGGTGGAGAGCATGGGAGAATGGAGGAATTTGGATAGGGCAAAGTTCCAGGAGGGGAAGGGAGGGGGCATGGGAATAGAATTAGATGGACATCATTACCTTAGATACATGTGTGAAGACATGAAGATCTACTTTGTGTACAACCAGAGAAAATGTGTGCACTATTTGTGTACTATAAAAAAATACAAGTAAAAATGTTGGCAAGGATGGGGGGACTGCATCGCTGGTGGGACTACAAATTGGTGCAACATTGCTGGTGGGACTGCAAATGGGTGCAAACACTCTGGAAAGCAGTATGACAGTTTCTCAGAAAACTTGGAATGGAACCACCATTTGACCCAGTTATCCCACTCTTTAATATATACCCAAAGGACTTAAAATCAACACTCCACAGTGATGCAGCACATCAATGTTTATAGCAACTTAATTCACAATAGCTAAGCTATGGAACCAACTTAGGTGCCCTTCAACAGATGAATGAATAAAGAAAATGTGGTATATATACACAATGTAATATTACTCAGCCACGAAGAAAAATGAAATTATGGCATTTGTTGGTAATGGATGGAATCAGAGTATCAGACTAAGTGAAATAAGCCAATCCCCAAAAGCCAAAGGCCAGATGTTCTCTGATATGCGGATGCTAACACACAATAACAAGGGGGAGGGAAGAATAGAAGTACTTTGAATTAGACAAAGGGAAATGAAGGGAAGGGACATGGATGGGAATAGGAAAGACAGTAGAAGAATCAGACATAACTTTCCCATGTTCATATATGAATATATGACCAGTGTAACTCCACATTATTTTAAACCACAAGAATGGGATCCTAATTAGAATAAGTTATACTCCATGTATGCACAATATGTTAGTACATTCTACTGTCATGTAGATCTAAAAAGAACAAATTTTTTAAAAAGGATAAATCTCCCCCCAAAAAAAGAAATAAGGTTCTAGGACTAATATATTCCCTCACTAGAACACAGGTATAAACTGGAAAACAATTTGGCATTATCTAATAAAGTTCCCTATGACTGAGCCATCCACTCTACTTGTGTTGCAAAATATACTGTGGAATATGTAGTCTTCTTCCTGTTTCCTTGCAAATGAGGCCTAAAATCTTTAGAATCTTCAGTGTCCGTGTGCGTGCTAATGAGTTAGCTGATGGCTTCCGTAGCTTCAGGGTGGAGGATACTCACCTGAAAGACATTAGAGGGTTAGGACTTTCAGCCTTGGTGGTGGGGCTATGTGTGCAAGTTAAGTCCATCACCAGTGGTCCCTGATAGAAAATCCTGCCTGTGTATGAAAGTTTCCATAAAAGCTCACAAGTGACAAGTCTTGGAGTGCTTCCAGATTGCTAAATACATGGAGGTTCCTGAAGGGCACTGTTTCTGTAGAGGACATGGAAGACCTGAGTCCCTTCCCCCATTCCTATCCATATGCATCTCTTCATCTATGTAATATCCTTTATAATAAAATAATAAACGATAAACTTTTCTGAGCTTCGAGTCACTCCAGAAAATTAATCAAACCTTAGAGGGAATTGTGGTAACCCTGATTTATAGCCATCAAAAGTATGGGGGCAGAGTTGTGCCTCAGTTGTAGAGCGCTTGCCTAGCATGCATGAGGCACTGGGTTCAATTCCTGACACCACATAAAAATAAAATACAGGCTTAAAAAAAAGGAGTCGGGGGTAGTTTTGGTACTTAGCCCTCGATTTGTGGGATGTATGCAGTCTAGGTAGGACTGTATTAAAGGACACTTGCTGTTACAAAAAACTATTGCTTTTTTGGTGTGTGGGGAAACCCCATATATCTGGTATTATGGAAATATAGTACAAAAACAGTTTTGAGTTGTTTTTCCTCTATGTTCTCATATGTTAAGAATGGCAATGAGATCAGAACACACAGATAATTGAGCCTGCTTCATTTGTATACATTGTATGCAAAAGATAGTTTTACTTAGTGAAAATCAATACTCAAACCACCATGACAACATAACAAATCAGATATACAAGAAGAGATTGATGGAGATTTACACAAAGGAACTGATGGGTAATACTGTATTAAGGCAGTTTGTTATACTACAATAGTGTTGAGAGCCACAGCCAAAGGGGCCCCAGCAAACTTCCAGCTGCCAGCAAACTTCCAGCTGCTGGCTGATGATTGGCTCACAGCGGCCCCAGCAACATCTAGCTGATTGGCTCCTCTGCGGTGATGCTCATTGGACTGTTTCCCTGCCCTTTCAG